AGAGTGAATACATGCACATGTTCAGTTCACAGACACAGACATGTGCATGACCCTATAGGGAACGTGTTACTAAGCAGCTCACTGAATACTAATCCAAGTGTAAAGACTGTGAACGCTACAATCTGATTTAAAACCTAAAATCTGGTTTAAAACCTAAAATCTCTCCCTGTGAGATGATTAGAGCAACACAAACATGTACAGTGATGCCCTTGGCGTTAGCCAGCAATGATGAAAGCCTACGTTAATTTATCATTAATTTGGGGTTTCATTTATGTGTAGTAGATCAAATGATCGACTGAAATTAAACTATAAAAGGATACACAGATATGAGACATATACATATTTATACACATAAAATAAAGGTTAAATTATATTAATAATCCATTTTCCCCTGTAAAATGTTGTCACTTATATGCAGGGGTCCGACTACACATTCATTAGATCATATCTGGTGGTCACTATTTTAGATGAAGTGATTGTTGGTCATAAAAACAAGAAGTTATTTTATTCATTGCTTTTGTTAATTTCAGATGTTCTCTGTTGAATCAGAGCACTTTGAACTGATATCAAGACGAATTCATCCTGGCTTTCTAAGGTTCTGAGCTAAATATTGATGCAATGGTTATATAAAGCATTTTCATAAAGGGTTCTTTTATCTTCTAATTTAAAAAAAATATTTTGACTCTGCCACAAATAATTTACAATAAAGTGTTGTGTAAATGCATCACTCTGCAAGACATACCATAAACACTACAAAAAGTTACAACTTCCCTGCACTGTATTATTGTATAGCAGCAATAAGCACCACTTTATTATGTGTGACTGTCAGCGTAAATGTTTTCCTGATGACTTCTCAAAGTACCCTTGAGAGAACCTGGAGTTTGGCTAAGAGGAAATGCTCTCTTAAACATGTCACCTCAGCATCATTTCATGAAAAACACCCCACCACAGCCCATCTATCGAAAACAATCCTTCAGCAGCCAGGTTGCTTGTAAGCCCGTGTAGCGTGTGTGTTACTGATACTGTAGGTAGGTGAATGTACTGTAATTCTGTTGCTTCCACAGTCATGGTGATGGGCCGTTAATCTGGATTTAGGTTTCAGGGCCAATGTCTCACTGGAATCTAATCCCACTGAGTGTTTCAGTATGGAGACACAAAGCTTGTGGAGCATCTCCTGGAGCTCAGAACCTGGCAGCCATGTTGGAATGTACAGACAAAGACCAGGATCTAACAGCCACCTTGGTTTCTTTTGTCTTTTTAAGCACATATCATACAGCAGACTGGGCCAAGGTGGTTTCTCATCATTGAATAAATAATTCAGTAAGGATTTACTAATGACTACATGGACTCATCTGGTCTTATTTACTAACAAAAATAACTCTTTTGTTATTATTTCTGTGCCTGCTTATGACCTATCTCAATAACAGTTTTAATTTTTGATTCTTTATAAAAAAGCATCTCTTTTTTACTAGCAGCAACAAAAATGAAATATCATCCATCTTAATGATGAGAAAGGAGTAACTGAAGTCATAAAATATGTAAACATTTGTCTTATTCAATTTCTCATAAATGTTTTATTTATTTCAGGTCACACAGGATGAAGTATTACAGCGTCACTGACTAGAACTTGTAATGATGAGTGGGGTGACGAGTAAGGGCACAAATCTGATTTCCAAGTGACTGCATTGCTGAGGCATCACCATACATTTTGCCCGACGGTGCAAAGGACACCGTGCTCCCTTTAATGGTATCATCTCTCCCAGGTCTCTGATTCATCCTGCTGCTTATAGCATAGGGATAGCGTAGGATTTTGTAAGGTCTAATAGATTTAGATATGTCAATCATGCATTCAAAGTTACATTTGCTAGAGAAAAAGAGACCTTAAATATCCTATCTTCCTATTATATTTGTAAGATATTGACTTTTTGGCAGTAGGACACCAATGTTAAAAGTGCTGTTCTTTTTCTACATAGGAGATAACAGCTGTCTAGCAGGTGGAGCACTTCTAAAGTAGCATGGTTACAAAGATGTTGAGTCATGTGGACAAAAGGTTATTAAACTGTTAGGAAATATCTGGATCTTTAACAAATAGGTAAACATGCAGGTCTGTGGACATCATCAATTTAAGGAAAGAGGTCAACAGCAACTCCTGTGACACATTATTGTTAGGAAGCATCCAATCATCTTAAAAGCCAGCTGCATGCCATGATAAGATAAAGTTAAAAATTATGCTTTGTAGAAACCGAAAAATACACCCAGAAGTTTACTTTATTTTGGAATTCTGGGTGATCTCGTCATGAGTTCTGCTAGTACTGTATGTTCTTCAGCTTTCAGCTGAGATTTGCACCTATGCTGACTTCTTCATAGCATAACAGGGTATAACACTATTACAACCAGTCACTAGCCTAAACCAAACATGACTTCTCAGGAATGAAGATGAAATGTTGCAAAGGAATGACCAGAAAAACCCAAAGTGTCACCAAGTCATACAGGAGGTGCCTTCATTTTCAAACAGCATTGAGTATATTGCTGAAATAAAGGCAGCAGAACTCCCCACTTTGCACCTCAGACCACTGAAATCATCACAGCCAAATGTGAAATATGTCCATCCTAATTTTGTGACCCTCAAAGGGATGGCATTGATTAGAGCACCCAGACAGCCAGCTGCACTTAAATGGACAGAATTTCTCAGTTTCTGAACACAAGCTAATACAGGCATTTCAGTAACACCACATTCACATATAATGGAGAGTTAATGTGAAAATGATGACCTTTTCAAAACATGGCAAAATGTGGGTGGTGGAAAATAGAGGGTGGGAGGGTGAAGGATGTTTAGGATTATCGAATGATTGTTCTATTCTGTAGTGGCAGAACATTCTCAGGCAAGTTGGAGAAGGGGTGACATTTTCCCTTGGATATCTATCAACGACGCTTAATTGTTTTCATGTGCATTTTCTGGAAAGATGGCACTCTTTTGTAATGGGTAATTAATAAGTGAATAGATGATGATAAATGGCCCTGATCTTTTCCTCCTGGTACTGACATCATGCACAAATGTTCCCCTATATTTCTACAGTACTTATCAGAAGAAACACTTTCTGGTTTCAAGTGTCATCTGGGGGCATGTTCATTTTTATGGACAAAAAAAGGAGCAGCTGCACCTTTGTGGTCGAGCACAGCAGGTGGAATGAAGTGATTTTGTGTATCGGTTCTTTTATAAAACGCTGTGATCATGTAGATATCACTAATTCATAAATGCTGCTCATCATGCAAATCACATAACACATCAGACAATCTGATGAGATAATAGCAACAATACTCAAGCTACAGTGTCATTTAGGTCAGTGCAAATTCATTCACAGCATACAGCAAATGCATCTATCATAGCTTGGCCCAGGCCGTGACATTACACTAAGCAGTATGTGCAAATGTACTGTAATTGCAGTGTTAAATTCAACTGCAAGAAAACATTAACAGTATATGAGAAGTATGAGTCTGAATCACCTGAATTCCATCAAATGCCTAGTTGTCAGCTTTCTTCAGACATGAGTGTGTGGTCACACAGTTAAAAATACTTTATAACCCACTCATGTCACCCTGAAAGTGTCTGTGTGGGCCCAAGGCAGGATCAGAGACAAGAACATCACATGCAGAGGGAGGTTCAGCACATAATATGACACCATTTTGAAAGCAGAGACATTTATCATGGAGGAAATTGTGTGTGCAGTATTTGTGTGATGTGTGTGCCATTCATTGTGGCTCAAAACTCCCCTGTGGCACTAATCAATAGTAGGTTCACTATACAGTCGCATGTCAAGGGCAGACACCATGAAGACAAGTAGAAGAATCAGTATTCATGAATAAATGGTTTAGAACACAATTGTTTTTACTGTAGGTCACTCAAGACAGGACAACTGATGTTTTTCTGGGAGTCAGATGCCATTTTACTGGCCCAATGTTTGGAGTTTTACAGGAAAGAAGAAACGCCTCAGTAGTATCTCTCTGTACTATAGCTTGGAGATTGCAAAAACTAAAACACCTCCACTTAGTGAACGTTAGTGCACACATACACATATCTGAAGCCAGTGGGGGTACATCTTCTGCTTTCATTATTGTGCATTAAATAGAAATATGTTGGAGCATTTCTAAACAAATACATGAAAATGCTGATGCAAATTGATATTTACATACTTTTCTGTTGTGCGTAAGTTCTTGTTTTATCATTATTAGCAATATTTTCTCTCCTAATGGCCCTGCAGTGTAATGCCTGAGCATTACATTGAGTAAAATATTACAAAATGAAAAATATGACCCTTTGTAAGAATCCTCATCCACTTGGCGATAATGTCATCTTAGTCATCATATCATCAAATTCCAACACTTTGTTTTAGACCAAAGCTGAAACCTACTTGATGTACCACCATTTCAAAGTTATGTTATGTTACCAAAAAGTATGTGCCAGTGCTGCTTGCTATGCCACCAGCACATGATGCAGCAAAGAACCAAAGTTTAACCATCCCCAGCAGAATCATTGCTTTTTGAGTCATGCATTAGTTTAGATATGCTTACCGTACCACGCAATACTACTAATTACACTTCTGTAGGTTCCTCTCGGGTTACAGGAGTGCCAAATATGCCAAATCAGTATGGTAGTACATATCAAATACAAAACCAGATGGCCTGGATAAACAGTAAAATTTCATCAGTGTAAAAAAAAAAAATGATCATAATAATTATCATCATCAAAGTGAATCAACTAATGGACGAACCTTTGACACCATTCAGCCAGTAAACAGTCAACATAGCCGGGGAATGCCATTAGTAAAATTGGTCATTAATCTGTTCAACCAAGCAAACTCCAGACAAATCACTTTAAAGTTTTCAAGGATCAAAGATACTGTCCTTCGCCACTGACTTTTCAAGCCAGAAAACCAACTCACTCTTTAAATTCTGGATGGTGAAGGACACATTTCAAAACTTTATTAATTCCAGTGACTTACGTGTTTTGTGGTGGCTGTGTGCACGAGTTGTGAGTGTGGTGGAGACCGTCCCTGTAGTAGTGTGCTCCTGGGTCCACATCTGTGTAGAGTCATGAAGTACTGTTGGATTGGACGGAGAGGGGCTAGATGTTGCTTCTCCAATTATGTAGGTTGTCCTTGGCGCTGCAGTGGTCGTAGTAAAACCAGAAGGTCCACGTCCATTACGATTTACAGGATTGCGAGGGGTCACTTGGCTACCTGAGGCTCCACCCCCTCTAGGGTTTATTGTAGTCATGGTAGCAGTGGAACGTGTTCTACCTTTTGCAGCAGTTGCTGTTCTAAGTGTGGGATTCCCAGCATCAACTGTAGGAGTAGATGTAGTGGTGGTAGTATCGGGACTTTTGGGAATCCCACTTGGCTTGGAGAGGAAGATAGGATCCTGGCCTATTCGATTAGCATCCACCAGATCTGTTGGCACATAATCCCGCACTGTACCAACAACAATCCATTTCAGCAACATCAGGCTCAATCCAAGGCCAATGAAACCAATAAGTAAGGGGACCACGCATAGCCATGTCTGCTGGCGAGGCCAGACTGCACAGCGAAGGGGACCTTGATCCTGGGCCTGGCCCTCGCCATGGCCTGCTGAAGCCCCTGAACCCTCAGGTTCTTCCAGGATCACCGCCCCGGATACAGCTGCCCCAGAACACTCACTCATTCTTCCCTGCCTTCCTTTATGGCTGACTGAGGGTTAATCCTGTGATAGGCATCGGTAGCACATGGCAGAAAGGTTCCACACAATGCCGGACATTGAGAAGAGACGAGAGAATGAAAAAGAAGGGATAAAAATAGACTCCAACAAATCACGCTGTCTATAACACATTCACAAATATGGAATCCAAGGATAAAGAGGAGGGGAGGGGTGCAGGAGATACATGCAGACACGCAATCAGAAACACACAAGCACACGCTCACACTCAGAGACGCCCAGTAAGAAATGGAAGAGCTGGCATAGACAGGTAATCACCCAAATAGTCCGTGTTTAGTCCTGCCCAACTCCCAATGTCCAACTGAACTTCAGGACTGTTCACAGCAGGTAGGGAAGAAGGAGAAGAAGTGATGCCTCTAACAGGGAGAAAGAGGGATAAAGAGAAAGATAGGAAGAAGAAATGGATGAGAAAAAAACGGCTTTACATCTGTGCAAATGAGGAATCCGTGGCATCCGTTTGGATGCCACTGCAGCAAAAATCCACAGCTATTTGTGCCTAATATGCATGTATGCCCCCACCACGTAGAGTCCACAATGGGACAGTATTGTCTAATGAGGGGAGTAAAACTTGCAGGGTGGGTCTTGTTGCTTCCCCACCCTGCGAGGGACCAAAAAAAGAAAAAGGATCTTTCCCAGTGCAACCTGTTCCAACAGCTTTAGCCAAGTCAGCGTCCCTCAGCTCCCAAAATCAGTCTCTTTCAAGAGAGAGAGCAAAGATGTGTTTGTCCAAGACTATCCTAGGTTTATCTGATATCAATTTTATCCCTTTTCACCCTGTTTTTCAATAAGCCTCTCTTGTTTCGAAGATTTTTGATTGATCACTGTTTGGATCCAAATATAGTTTATGTTCTGATTTCCAGTGAGGCAGGAATAAAGCAGTAGAATCCAATTAATTTTGTGCATCCAGTCCACACTTCAGAGGAGGACGCAGAAAGGCAGAGGGGGGAAAAAAGAATTAGGGGTGTTGTCACGCAGCGGTATCACAGGGTGGATAAATATGCGACTGCGACGCGTGATCCTGCTCCTTCACCAGCCGACTGTGGATCAGATTTCCCCAAGCTGTCCGCTCAGCGCCCTGCTGTCTCAGTAGACTGTCCCTTAACACTGCAGCAAGCACTCAGAAAGCATCTTCTCATGAATTTGTAGAGAACATTCCGCCACAGATGCATAAAATGAGAAAGGAAGAGTATAAAAAGCAGGGAGTGGATAAAATGATTGAAACTTAAAAAGCAGAAAGCAAATATAAAAAGCAGAAACACAAACAGGAGCCCACTGATTGTCTCTTCTCTGTTTCTGAGTAATGTTTTTTCTCAGTCCCAGAAATCCTGCGTTCCTTCAAGTCAGCCTATGATTTGTTGGTCTGGTTGCTGGGATCTTCTTTACGTCCTTCCATCCAGGATGCTTTATTGGAGATTATTAGAAATGTGTGCCCCACGCAGGGATGAGGACTTGCCACCACAGCAGCAGAGGTTCCCTAACCCCCTGTGGGGTTAGCAATATCCAACAATGTAGCTCTTTACCTGTCGTGATTGTGATGCAGAAGCACATAAAGCTACCTCCCTGAGCCGCTGCCACTGAGAGACAGAGAGTGAATGAGAAGGGGGAAAAAAATCGAGGCACAGAGAGAGCAGAGTGTGGTACTGGAGAGAGCGAGACAGAGAGAGAGAGAGAGAGAGAGAGAGAGAGAGAGAGGAAGAGGGAGAGAAAGAGGCTGCACCTGCTAGATGCACCAGCACTGGGAAGCTTGCCCACCTCCGTTAGCAGAGAGGGGAGTGGAGTTAAGATGCAGAATGAATACAAAAAAACAGAAAAAAAGGGAAAAGAGAAGTGGAGGTGCGTGTACAGATAAAGATAATGAGAGTGGGAGGGCGGGGGGATGGGACGAGCTCTGCAGCAGCAGAGGAGGCAGCTACCAGCGAGAAGCCCGAGTCCCAGACAGATCAGAGCAGGACCACAATGCAGGAGCCGTCACTCAGTCAGCCCCGCCCACTGCACAGCATTAGGGGAGAGAGGAGAAAAAGGAAGGAAAGAGAGAATGATTTTCAAACTAAAGACCAAACTTTAGTGTGTTTAGCATTTATATGAATACAATGAAAACTGGTCAGATGTTGAAGACTATAAAAGCTGTTTGTGCACAGCATGTGACATCGCGGAGCGTGAAATCTCATGATCTGGGTGATTTTGATCACATGCGTTTTTGGTTTTCTTAACAGCCAGTTGAGCCAAACACCTTGCTTGCACCTCTGCCTGCAGAAAAATGTTTGAATAAATACAGAATAAGTTCAGAGTGATCCAGAGCTGAGATTTTGGTGTGCAGCAGCTCCATTTTTCACTTTTACTACCACTCTTTAATGTAATGTGTCTGGACACTGTGCAACTAAATGTGTATCTACTGTGTATGTGAGAAACAATCTCTTACTGTTATGTAGGTGCAACGTTAGCTCTATTTTTTTTTTCTTTTCTTAGTTTTTCAATGTGAATATCAAATATTCTATTATTAGATTTTGTTCTTACTTTGAGATCTTAAAATTTCATTGAGAAAAGCTGATTTATGGACTAAGGAACTAAAAGCCATAAGTCATGAATAAACAGAGTAGAAGCAAAACAGAAGACAAAAGACCAATAACGTTTTGAGTTTCACATCATTGCTCACTTTGACTATTATGTTAATCAGCCAGGTTGAATGGCTGAGCCTCAGCTCCTCCAGCCCGGGTTCAAATCAATTTAACAGTGCACAGCACAGTGTAAAACAACCTTTATGACGCTTGCTGTAAAACCATGCACCGTTTCTTCTGTTGTACTGTGACTTTATCATTGTGTACACAGAAGTGTTGGCAAGTGCGTCTACTGTGATGTGAAAGCATCACAAGAAAGGCACACACATAAAGCTATGGAGATTGCAATCTGTCCGGAGGAGACACCTTCAATTGGTCCTAGGGGGAAACTTGAGACACACTGAGGGATTCACACGTCTTCCTGTCTTCTGACACAAAAATATATGACAGTACAAGTCTATTAATAAAGCAGCCAGGACGCTTTGGTGGTATGACCGAATCATCAATAAGCACACTGGCAAATAGCCAAAGGGACAAATTAAATGTTCACTTCTCTTCACCTTCCCTCGATGACAGGCATTTTCGATATGATAAAAATATAGGGCTTAACTATAAAACATTCTTGTAGCAAATGTTAAGGAAGAAGTCTTTTTAAATGAAGTACGTAGATGATATCTGATGCTGGGTACTGAAATTTCATTTGTAAATAGGAAGAGCCTTGTCTGTTCAGCTAATTGTTGTGTATAGTTGAAAAAGCTGTTATTCAATGTATGTAAAATGGTTTGGACTTAAAAATAACCTGCTTTACCTCTAAAGTAGAACAGCTTATAATTGGCAGCAGAATAACCTGCCAACGAGACTAACCTTAACTGTGCTTAACAATTTCACAGTCTGTGCTAAATTGTGGATTAATTACTTGTCCTTACCCACTGTACAGTGAGAGCAGTGTGTGTACACTGGAATCCAGTGGTGAATAAGGTCAGTGTGTCTTTGTATCATGTTAAATGGGCAGGTTTGCACACTTCAACTGAAAAAGTATTGTATCGAGTTATCCCATTACCTCACCATTTTCAGTTGGTGTGTCTCAGTTTGACGCTGTACAGAGGGGCTCTGAGGGCTTTAAGGTAATAATACTGCTCTACTGAACCACAGCTGAGTAATATAATGTCAACTTGATAGATATGACATCAAAATAAAACAATATACCAAACAGATAAACCCTTGCAATACAGTCATTACTCTTACAGGTTGTATTTATATATTACAATTCTGCCAGTACATGCTGGGAAAGGTTCTAGAGCATTGTGAATCTGCACAGGAAATGTGGGTGCAGAAAAAGTATGAATAAATAAACGACAAAAAAGTGCTTTTGTTACTGTATAAAAAATGACTATAGGGCACCAGTTCATGAATTGTTTAATATGCACAAATCCAAAACTAGTGAAATATGGCAATCAGAACTATCCAGTGTCCAACTGACAGTCCAGTTTCCAACAATGCTTCATTTACAATAATATTATAAAGTGAAAATGTGGATAGAGCCTCGAATAAACATTGTTTCCTCTCTAACACTGTAAGCATTGTGTTTCTGATTGCATGATAACTGTACATCTTATGGGGTTTGTATTTAGACTCTATTCATAGTTTTTAGCTTTTGCCTAGAGTTATATGCACAGCAGATGTAAATATTTCTTTCAGTATTATTGTTCTTTACACCCCCATCCATTGTTTACCATCTGGCAGTATAATTATGTAGATATGTATCAGAAATAAGTCTGAGCTTAGATTATAATGATGTGTTTGTTTTGCATAATGCACAGTCATTACTGTTATCTTATTAAAAATCCCACAACTTCAGCACTGGCTCACAAATACAAATTAAAACAACTTATCACTTTCAGTGACATAGAGTGAATTTTTATATGCCAAAATGACACCATTAGATGGTATTTTGTCCAAAGTACTTATTATGGAAACAGTAGGAAGATACTGTAGATGCAGTAGTACATCAATCAATGATGTATTTCAGGAATGATGCAGATTCAGTAATTTGTACAAAAGCATACGCTGATATACACAGAGCAAGATAAGGCAGGGCAAAACCGGACATATACAAACACGAACAAATGCACTCATATAGTAGATAAGTCAATAAAGGGGATTAAGGAGTAAACAGCCATACAGACATAAAAATCCTCAAAAGCCAGACACACCATCCATCCATTATCCATGCTTGTCCGGTGGAGGGTAGGGGGGTGGGGGATCTGAAGCAATCCCAGCCAACACTGGGCGAGAGGCAGGTCACACCCTGGACAGGTCACCAGTCTGTCACAGGGCTGACACACTCACACTTAAGAGCAGTTTAGAGTCACTAATCAACCTAACCTGCATGACTGAGGACTATGGGAGGAAGCTGGAGTAGCCAGAAGAAAGCCAAGCAGGCATGGGCTGAACATGCAAACCCCACACAGAAGGGCTCCAGTCAGCTGCAACATTCAAAGCCAAAAAAAAAAAACACACAAAAAGAGTTTCCTGTTACCTGCACGGTTTTTGGTGATCTTTGTTGTGATAATGTTTACTTACCTACATTTTCTCCTTGACTGCAACTTGCTTTTTAATTAAAGGGCAAACAAATATATTTCTTCCAATCACCAGAAGACAACAAACAACAAAGTCCTATTCCAAAAGGTCAGTGTTGTAGTTATTTGTCCAGAGCAATAATGTTGTGCATGGGAGTGGGATCTCAGCTTAATCAGCCCCTCCAGGTACTTCCCATCATTGAATTTGAATCAATCCCTGCATTACCTGCAAGAGGTTACCTATGTCATGTTGTTGACAGTTTGAATTCTTCAGCCTGTGTTGTTATGGATTAAAATAATTCAGTGGGAGTTCAAGCAGACTGCTCTCAGTTTAACATCCTGTTTCTCACTCTAGATTGTCATAGTTTTCATGGAAGAGGAGCCGCTTGTTTTCCTTTTTAAGAAGATAATGCCTTTTGGGGGGTTTCCTCTTGTGCTCAGCTTACATTTCTTTTCAATGTGAACAATCAGCTGTGAGTAACAGTGCAAAATAAGACAGAAGGCACATTTTCAAAAACCAATACAGCATATCTTGCAAATAGTGTCTGCAACTCAATATACAGTATATTAGAGGTATGACAGCTTTATAAGTAGAAAATTAATGGCTTAAAACTCACTTCTTAGCCGCTTTTCTTTCTTTCAGCTCATACCACTGGGGACAGCTGTTCCCTCAGTTACTACTCCAACATCGAATGGAAATTTCTGCTGGATCAATGCAAATGCAGTCCAGTGTTCCTAATCTTCCGCCCGGGAGACCAACTGATGAACGCCAAATGTCCTCTGACACACATTAACTCCAAGACAAAAGCAAGGTCAGAGGTCAGTGCATATCTCAGCCATTAAGAAGTGTGTTTGCATTCTGTGCTCCCCCTAAACAAAAATACAATCATGTTTCTTTGTTTTGTTTTGTTTGTTTTTTTTAATTGCCTTACCTTTGCATCTCTTTACCCAGAATTTATTTTTCTTGCTAGAATTTCCTATCAGGCTACTGGGGTCATGCATGGCTGCCAATGAAACAAATGATGGTGGGATTTGAGAAGAGGAGTTGCTTAACAGGTTGGACTTTAAGCAAACAAACCAAGAAAAATCCAGTCGGCCTCCTCCCCCCACATGGACCTCATCTGCAGAGCAAAACAGCTGTCAGCAGTGACAGTAGCTTGGTCAGGGCTCTGGTGTCATCCATGAATCTCCGTATGAACAAACAAATGATGAGGTGTGGTCATCGACCAGTTAATGTCATTTGGATGACAAATTGTGAAATGGCTGATGTAATTGACATGGTGGGTTTTCAGTATCTGCACATCAGCAGGGTCATGATTGTCTTGTCTCGCGTGTTCTGATAAAGTCAGCACACCCTGGTTTAATTGCCATCCAGTGCTTCTAGCCTCCACTGTGACGTCCTGATCATTATCAGAAACGTTCAATAGTTTCAGCGGCGGTCTTGTAGTGTGAGTGATCAAAGGAGCCAAACTG